ATTCAAAAAAAAATGTAATTAATTAGTAATATTTTAAAGATAAATATATGATAAATTATTATGAAAAAAAAGTTAAAATTTTAAACTTATATATCTTACTTCTATTGACTTCAGAAATATGAAAATATAATCATTTAATAGGTTTTAATAAAATAAATCCAACAAACTAAACTTTATTTTCTTGTAATTATTAGATAATAAATAATTAAAAAATTAAAAAATTAATATATATTAATAATTATTAATTTTAAAAATTTAAAAATACTATCATTAAATAAATCTTAATATAATAAATTTAATAAACTTTATTTCATCTTTTTATAATCACTAGATATTAAAATATTATAATTTTTTTAAAATATTTTATAATCAATTTATACTTATATTTTAAGAGATAATATAAAATTAATATTTTATAAGTAAAAATAGTTAAATATTTAAAAAAATATCTACATTAAATCAATTATATTTATTTTTTATTATTTATTTTAAGTATTTAATATATATAATTTATTTAAATTATTTAATTATATGTTATATTTTTTGATTTTAATACAAATATTTTAAATATAAATATTAATAAATTATTAAATTGATTATTAAATAATAAAATAAAAAATGCTATAAGAATTGTATATAAAAATACAAATGCATTTACAAACTCTCTTGATATATATAAACAATTAATAAATAATTATAATACTATAATCATTTTTTAACTTTTAAATTGATAATAATTATCAACTAAAGAATGAAAAAATAATTTAAAATCTTACTGTTAAACAAATTGCAAATAAATTAAAGAGAATTTTACAACTAGATAATATTTTGAATAATTATTTTAAAGATAATGATACTTCAAAAGGTTTATATAATGAATTGTATCATGAATATGAACAAGAAAATTTATTGAAAATTAATACTATTAAAGCTAAAAATTGTATAAAGAATTCATCAATTAAATATATAATTGATAATCTTAAAACAAATACTTCAAAATCTAAAAATAATATTTGTAAAGAGAAAATATTTAGGAATAATAAAAGTTATGATATTTTTTTTAATATTAGAATTACATAAATCTTATGAAGTATTTTCTCATTCTGATTATCCTTATGGATTATAACTATTAATATAAATCAAGAATCTCAAAATAGAATTGTAACAATCAAAATAATCAAATTATTAGAAGAAGAATATAATGTTAAAAAGATTAATCATTTACAATCGTTAGTTAATTTTGATCAAACATAAAGTAAATATATATAATTTAATTTATTTTATTTTGAATTTATTTTCTTATAAACAATTCTTTTTAGTAATCATCATTGAAATAATAATAGTTTTGCATAATCATTTACATCTAAACAATTATAAAATGGATGGTAATATTTTTTCAATTTTTTGAAAAAATTTGGATTAATTATAGAAAAGCAGAAAGGATAAAAAGCATAAAAACCAAAAAAATATATTATAATTTTCCATTATTTACAAAAAATTTTTAAATTAGAGCATTATCTACAGGTTATCACTCCTCTCACTTATCAATTCAGCATTGGTTTTGTGATTATAAAATTGCGATAGTATCTTTAATAATATTAATGGATATGTGCTCATCAGTGAATATGCATATCATCAAGAATATTTAAATTTATTATTTGAAATATCTTTCAATATCTATTGATGAATTAACACATTCTTTTAATGAATATTTACAATGAATAATGATATTGAAATGAATTTGATTCAATAATAACCTTACCTGAAATGATATTCCACTTGATCAAACTAAGGGAATTGAAAGAAACAAAGATATTGATAAAGAACTAGCAAAGGAAATTATAGGTATAAATAAAATATTAAAACAATTTTATTTTAACTTACTAAATTATTTTTCTATTTAGCTTTTGTTCAAAAAGTTTCTGGTACATAAAATGGATGCTAGCAAAATTTCAGGTTTTTTTAAATAATTAATAATAATAAAGAAGTAAATGACGTAAATTTTTAAAAAAAATTTGTGTTAATTGGCTAATTTTATGTCCGACTCAAATTTAATAATCAAAATATTAAACTTGACCTCCTCATAGTCCTGTCTTGACCCTCTTTCCGATCTTATTGTAAAAACAATTGTTATTTATTTATTAACGGCAAGAGGGTCAATTTAAACAAGGAAGGTCAAGTTCAATACTTTTGCATCAAAACCATATTGAGGATTTTTAACTATGCTGATCCTTATTGACTTTTTTTAATCTGTTACGCTATTCTAAATTTGGAAAAATAATGCCAGAAGATAAAATACTGTTCTTCAGTAGAACACTTTTTGATTCCTTGTTCAACCTGAAGTCATATCCAAAAAACGGTTCTATATCAGTGGTTGACATACTCGCTTATTATCAAAAAGAATTTTTGAATGACAACTTTAAAGAAATACACGACGTGTTAGCAAAAGATTTGAAAGAAGTTCTTAATGCAGTGTACTTAATAAGACTACAATGAACGCTTTAAGAAATATTAGAAATATTAGAGACAATTGGAGTATAAGTAGTCTGCAGTTTTGTAGATCTGTGGCTTTTGCTTGTGAGAGAAGGTGGGTAAGAGAACTGTAGGTCACTTCCACTATGGGAACTGCAGGTTACTTGTATGTGGTAAACTTGGAGACTGTAGGTCATTCGAGCTTGTAGTCTTGGGGGCTGTAAGCCACTCAAGACCTTAACAATATAACTCGTATTCAATCGCCTTTCGAGCCATTCTTAAAGCTGATTTACTAATAATTCTTTTTTTTGCTTTTGGAATCATGGAAAAACAAACTCTTAAACAAGTCTGTCGCGATCAGTTTGTGAGTGTGATGTATTATTTTGGAAGTTTACTTTTTTCGACTACAAAAAGCTCATTAGTTTTTCTCTTTCACAAGGAAACAATCGTCACTGAATACCAAAAAAAATTGTTGCTACAGTTGTTGATGTTGAAGCTAGCAAGTGGGTTGAAGAAATGACAAATAATGATAAAGTTCTAATGTACAATATAGGACGTAAGATGAACTGGAAACTACGTGTCCAGAAAATAAGAAGGTAAGAAAATCAGCATACGCAATAATTTTGCATTTACTGCTTTCCTTATACTCTTCTTAATCTCTTATTCTCATCGCTCAAAAATGCTCGTAAATGAAATAAATTAATAAGTAAGGATCAAATTAATAATAGTCAAGGATAAATGTCAACATATGGGAGGTTTGCTATTAAAATCGAGTTATAAACATAGTAAATCATATGATCCATAACATGATTTTAATAGCTTACCTCCATATGATGATGAATTTTGCAGTTGAAGATATTGAGGTATTGCTTTTATCGTATATTTATGCTTCGTAAACTAAGTTGAATTTCTGTACTGACATCATATACATGTGATCTAGTTGAATTTATGTTGAGTTAGCCTTGTATAATCTTGTTAAATTTTTTCACTTGTTATAACAATGTCATCAGGAAAATCATATTCCCAGTGATAGTAATTTCAATAAAACAATAGAGATTAAATATGATTTAGAATATAGTTGCCTGGCAAAACTCTCAGATCATTGGCAAAACTGTAATAAAACCTTATTGGCAAACCCGTCAAAACTCGAAACCCCCGTCAAAAGTCAAAACGAGTTTTGCCAGGCAACTATAATTTAGAAGAGTTAGAACAGCAAATAACATTAAGTTCATTAAATGAGTTATATAGAACTTTCAATTCTGATTACTATATTTAAGCTATGATTTTGAATATTATTTATATTATTTTTATATTTTAGTGAGAAGTAGGCATAGTTAATGTGTCAAGAAAATTTAAAAAGTATTACAGACAATTAATAGCAAGAGTTAGGCAGAAAAAAATCAAAATTGATGTGAAACAATACATTCAAACTATTGCAAGTGTTCCAAAAATATCTGTTGTATTTGCTTATGAAGATGTATTGAATTAATTAATTTCTTTATTATAATTTAGAGCCCTATTGTCAAAAATTGTAATGAGCTGACCTTGTTCCTATTCTGCATTTCATTTACAAGTTCTGAATTGCAAAAGTTCTTAACTCAAATCCATATAAAATTATATGATCCATTTTAACAGATTTACTCTTAATCACCTTCTATAAAGCAACAAATGATTTTTCACTTTAATTATAGTTTTACATTAAATGATGATAGTAAATTAGGTGAAAAAGCTAGACATATATTTAACTATATACAGTGGCGGTCAAAAGAATTGCATCACCTGAATGCAAATCTTAAAATTGCAATTTCTTAAGATTAAGAAATCGCAGTGTTATAAAACTTATTTAAGGATTTGTCATACCCTATTTTATCAATCTATATAATCTTTTTTTTAAGAAAACAAAAATTATTTTTCGCGAAATGTAAAAACA